CCCCAGGGAGTCCATCCGAAGCCACATCGGGGCCAGGAACACTTACAAGAACAGAGACACTTTCAGCTCCCGCAGACTCTCCGAAGATGGTCACAGAGCCTGGGTCCCCTCCAAAGTTGGCAATGTTCTCCTGGACCCAGCGCAGCGCGGCCAGCTGGTCTAAGTGACCCCAGTTGCCCCGGCTGTGTTCATCCCCTGTGCTGTGGGTAAGAGAACAGTGTGGGGCAGGGCGGGGCAGGGGGTGTGGGGGGCGTGGTAAGAGTCATCATGGTGGTATTCCCAGGACAATAGCTTGGGCTGGGGGCTCTAGGTGAGTCCTCCACAGCCCAGACTCACAGGTGTAGCATTGTTTGTTTAGCTCTCCATTCATTCACCTGGCATGTACTTACTGAGTATCTGCTATGTGCCATACACTGTTCTAAGAGCCTAAAGAAAAATAGGCAAAATTTCTAACTACACGGAGCTCACACTACGGATCGTCAACAAATAAACAGTTTCACTTAAGAACATAACACCAGTTAGCAAAAATGCTCTTAGGGCAAATAAAACAGGGTCACGGAAAAGGCAGGGGTGGGGCAGTGGGGTCTTATTTCAGATCAGATGTCTAGGGAAGGCCTCTCGGAGGCAGCCGCATCTGAGTAGAGATCTGAATGAATGAGCACAAGAACCTTGCCAATATCCAAAGAAAGGAATTCCAGGTGACAGAGGTAGCACATGCAAAGGCCCCAGGGTCCAGTGAACAAAAGTGTGAGTGCAGAACATGCAGCCAAGAGAAGGAAGTTCTTCAAAGAGGTGTGAGGGGTGACGTGTGGATGCTGCCACGGTTGGGCGCAGAGCTAGTGGCTCATTGGAAACCTCCTCCACTAGAACAGTCCACTGGTGTGGTCTGTGTAGAAACCTGACTGGTGTAGGGAGAGGAGAGACTGGAAGGAGAGAAGACATGGAGAGCTGATGGACCAGTATTAATGTAACGGGGAGCAGAGAAACAGGCCGGGGGGTGAAAGAGATGAAGAGTCTCAATGAGGGCATTGCATCCTAGGACATGACTCCCCTAATACCCTCCTCCAGCCCTACAGGTCTTTCCAGTGAGTGTCCACCCCACCTGCTGTCCATCAGCCATCGCAGGGTCCAAGGTCCTGGGGCCGGTGCATTGAGAAAACTTACCAGTAACTCTGCTCTAAGGACCCCTGGCTCCTGTCTCCATGGAGACTCCATGGAGAAGACTCTAGCCTTGGCTCATGCACGTGCCAAATGCGGAAGCGAAGAGGGTGAGTGACCCCAACATTCCTCCTGGGAGGCTTGTCCTCTGGAGTCAGATGTTCTGATACCTCCCAGCTCCAGTCATGGGTTGTTCCCCCACTCAGAAGCATTCACCGAGCTCCCGCCCATGTCTGCCCTTCCCTCCTTTCCCATGAGAGGTGAGGTGTTGAAACTGCCGCTCTAACTGCTGTGCGGCTGTCATTCCAGAGGTGTCCCGTGTGCTGTGGCAGCACAGGTAAAAAGGAGGTGAGCATTTCAGAGGCAGGAATGGTTTACTTGG